GCCTAGACTGTCTAAAATTTACATATGTGTGCTTGGACCGTCTAAACTTCTTTGATTATATATGTGTGCTTAGACTGTGCAAACTTCCCTTATTCGCAAATGTGTGCTTAGACTGTTTATCTATAAATGACTAATTCACATAACTAAGTTCGGCCGGGACCCACTGTTGTGGACCGCGAGGGGTGCCTAACACCTTCCCCTCAAGGTTATTTCGAGCCCTTACCCTAATCTCTGGTAACACAAACTAGTCAAACAGAGCTATCTGCAAATAGGTTCCCTAACGCACCTTAATCCATTAGGTGGCGACTCTTCAAATACCCAATTCCCAAAAGGAAATGAGTTGTTACCCATGAATGTCGAAACTTGGACTACGCGAAAGGCAAAAGGGGGCGCGACAGCATGGCGGCTCTGCTAGGGAGATTTTAGGCTCTTACCATAACGAATTTGTTTTGTGAATTAGTTCCAACCATGCTTTATTTTTTTGATACAACCTTCCCTTCCCCCTTATTTTGGATTAATTGCTTATTTTTTCATTATTTCTTTTATCTCCTGAAACTGACTTGTCTCTTTGTTTTCTTTTTTTCTTAACTGTCATTCAATTATGTAAATGCCGCATTTATCGGTTTTTTTTAACGTGCAAATACTTGATAACATGCTATTTATTGTTGTGTAAATCATGCTCAACATCATATTCCACTACTGCGTCATCAATCCTATAGCAACGCTTGATGAGTGTTTGCACTCTTCCTATATATCACCCTTTAAATTCGGAAAGGCACACTACAAGAAAACGCCTTATTTATGACCAACTTTTAGGGACGAGTTAATAATCTGGTCGCAAAAAATATATTTATTGGGACGAGATAATATTTTGGTCCTTAATACTATATTTTATTACGAAGGTAATAAATCCGGTCCCTAAAAAAAGTAGTAACTGGTCCCAAATAATAATTGAGGGACATTGAGCGTGACAGTGTGCCGCCAAAACTAATACCAAAATATTAAAAAACTATTATTTTGTGAAAAATCAGGCGCCAAAACTAATATATTGAAATAAAAATTTTTAAAAAGTCAAAAAATTAAGCTCTCTGTATTCTAATTAAAACACAAGTCGCGACTGCCGCCCTAGCTAGTTTCCGCGCGAAGCTCCGCCCAGTTTCCTCCAAGCTCTGCCCGTCGCCTTTACTGTGTTTTCTCAAAACACAAGTTGTGAATTTGGTGGTGTGTGAATTTGCGCAAGTTTCCATCTCCCTCGTTGAGAATCTGCGATACTCTCTGTATTCTGAAACACAAGTCGAAGCTCAGCCCTAGTTTCCGCCAAGCTCTGCCCGTCGCCTTTACTGTGTTTTCTCAAAACACAAGTTGTGAATCTGGTGGTGTGTGAATATTTCCAAGTTTCCATCTCGCTCGCTGAGAATCCGTGGTATGCCCCTCTTTCGAGTTTCTCTTTTCGCTGATTGATTCGCTTATTCGAGTTCTTCGATCTTCTTTTTCTTCTCTAACATCAAAAAATTTGTAAGGTTTCATATTTTGGTATTTTTTTCTTTTACAAAATCAGTGAAAAGATTATTGGGTTGGGATTCCTAGTTTGATAATGTAATTTTCTGAAGTTTATATAAAATTGCGATTCGGTATCCTCAGCGGCAGATTTTAATTGCCTTCTTTTGCTTCGTTGATGTATGTTTCTGCCTTCGCCATGGATTAACTAATCCCTATAACTAGCAGCCTTGTTTGTGTGCTATAGAAGAGTGCCGAAAGCACCTTCTTGAATTGCTAATTGTGTTTAGTGAAAAGCTGGTACATAAGTTGAGATGAAAAGCTCAGACAGAGAACTCTTATTAATCGCAATGAATGAGATGAAAACATGGTACATAAGTTGAACATTAGGCGTTTAGTTATATAGGTGGCTTGTAGAAAAATATTGTGTAAAACATCTTTGTTCATTACTTGGATTGAGTGGCAATTTCAAATTACTGCAATTTTGGTGTTCTGGACTAGTGGATTCCATACGCATTTGTTGTGATCAAATGGCTATTAGATATCTGACTCCTATGTTTTGTTTTCGAGTTTGGTATTCTGTTTTCTTGGACAATTGCAATCCTAGTTGTATATCTCAATGTTTTATGTTGCGCTTTTGTTTGTTTGAATGTGTTCTAATTTGCTATGACATTGTTGAGTTCAATGTGGTTGCTATATTTTGTTCCTCCACACAGGTAACAGCTTGTGTGATTGTAGTATTCCCCTGTTGCTTGGGCCTACTTGGTTTTGCATTTTTTCTTAGAGAATCACCTGCTGTAGTTGTTCCACATTGTTGCTGTCCAGTTTTAGGCACAAAAACTGGTGCTTTTGCGTTTAGTTTGCTGCTGGAAATTGCCATTGCAGGACTGCCTATTTTTGGTAAAGATGGTGAACCAACTGAGAGTAAGCCTTCATCTTCACTCTCTTGAGCATCATCCTCACTCGAATTTCCAACATACGCATCACCATAATCTTCCTCATCATCATACTCGCGTTGGTCTGACCATAGCTTAAATTTGATTGCCATCCCCCTCAAATTTGCCTTTATAACTTCAATGTTATTTCCAGATGATAACATCAACTCACCTCCATATTCACCAAAAGACTCCAAAGACTGTGATGGTACTTCAAACACGGAGGTGTTCAATGTGACCAATGGTTACTTCACCATAGTGTTATTAAACACCATTGCATTCTGGGCGTCCTTGATAATTTTTTCGACATGAGGACTGGAAAAATGCAGCTTGGAGGGATTGGACATAGGTACACGAACAACATCCATTCCGTCCTCGTCATTCATATTAGCAAGAGCAGCAAACAGATTTGTACTACTTCGTGCACATGTACTGTCTCTTGAGCCATCCTGCTGCATTTTGCTATTTTTTGGAGTGCCTTTTTTACTGGACACAATTGTCCAGTCTTCTGCCCTTATCTCCTTGATCACACCAGTTGCATTTACCACATTAGTAGTCTCCAAACATGCATTCACAACAGCAATTTCTTCAGCTGGATTTGCACCAGATTGCCCTGGATCAAGCACTTGTCCAGCTCTTTTTTCCAACCCTACATCTTGTACAGCAGTAGTTATATCAGTTGTTGATTTTTCCCCTAGATCAACTACTGCAGGGTTCAACAGGGTTGTTTGTGGACCAGCAATGGAACAATCAATTATTGTTTTTTGATGCCCAACTTCCTTAGAGTTTTGTCCAGCAACAGGACCTGTAGGAACACCAACAGTCACAGGACCTTTTTCTATAACAGATTTGCCCGAAGCATCAGCTGGTAATTTAGCTTTCACAACAGCTGGTGCGTTACCTACAACTTCTGTAGCATCACCCCTTATTAATGCATGATTATTACCAACTGTGCCGACTTCTTGTTGCACCAAATTGTTAATACCAATTGCATCCACCATAGCAGTGGCGTGTAAAGTCGACTCCACAGCCTGTGTACCTCTCGCTACATCCTTCATGCTTGTGCTTATCTGTATAATTTTTGGAGAATGTTACTGATTCAACTGTTACTTGTTGTAGAGAAATAGCTGAAACTATATTATATGTTAATTGTTGTATAACTGTTGGAGAGTTGCTCCTATCACATGATTATGAGTAGTTACTAAAACTGAACCAATTCATTAACTCAACCCATGTTTTGATTATTGTAGGATAAATTTGAGAGTGTTGACATGAATGATCATCGTGATCATATCTTCGCATAGATGAAAGAGTTATGAAACAAATGGAGAGGACACTTGCATGCAAAATATGTGAAAGCTAAGCCAATCCAACAGGCTCTTAAGAATATTCCAAACGGAGTAGACAAGAAAGAATGGGAGTGGTGATTAAAGGAATATTTTTCTTCAGAAGGTTTTCAGGTATGCCTAGTGATTTAATAATCTATTTGAGTTATCGAATTATGTGTTTCGATGTGTAGTTTCAGTTTAAGAATCACGACTCATGCACCATAACAGGGGAAATGGAAAAGTTAGATCAACAGAATGAATTCGAACTATGAAACTAAAACCTGTCCCATTTGCTTGAGAATCTAAATCAGAAGAATATGGGCCTGCGTTGTCCTTTGGCCTGCTGCACTTTTCTGTTTCTTTAAATCTGTGCAAAATGCAACATATAATTTACAACCATACGGTAAATTGACATAAAAGTTAGTGCAACCACAAGCTTACAACAAATAATGATGGCATACGCGAGATAAGTATATTAAAATCCAGAGTCAATAAATTTTAGGGCATGATTTGTATGAGAACCAGCTGGTGCATAGATGGAGAGCTTCGACTTGTTTACATTTTGAGTATTGAAACTACCTGTTTTCAGTTACAATGCCTACTTTTATGGCCTTACTTTGACAGAAAATGTGTTAAACAAACAACAGAAGGCAGTTTTCTCAGCTTGTCTTTGTACAGAAATTTGTGTACATCAAAATTTTAGAGAAAGTAGGTCGCCAATGACCTGGGGGTGGTGGCATGTGTAAAGCAGGTAACTTGATAGTCTTGCCGTTCATCTGAACTGTATATCAAATGTAAATTGGTAAAACGCGATATAACTTCCTTCAACTTGCCGTTCATCATACTTTAACTTCCTTCTCCTTGCTGCCTCATCCAGGGCTAATATAACAAGTCTTCTTGCGATGCACTGATATATTAGATGAAATACATATAAGTTTGACCAAATAGGCTGAAACTAAAGCAACAAGTTACTTCACCCTTGCTTATTGCTGATGTCCTCTTTCATCTTTTTTTAAGCAACAAGTTGGTCTATTGGAATACATTAGGATGAAAGGGAAGGTCTATGCTCTACCCTGTTTTCTCTGTTCACTTGATATTCCTGGAGGCTAAGTTTGAGTTTAAGCTTTTTAGAAGCAACTTATGTTTAAGTTTATTAATTTTTTATATTTAATCTTAATGTTTCACAAATATAGGCGAGAAGCAACAGGAATGCGGCAAATCGAGCTAACTTGAAGATGCTTCATCATATTGGTAGTAAGCCTATTCGTGAGATCATTTATCAAAAGGTATTATCATAAAATTTCTATTTTCCTAAGAAAATATTTACAAGCTATTCTTTGACATATTTGCCTTTGATGATGTAAAGGGCGGAAAAGATGGCAACCCACCGGATTTGGCAACAATTTTCTTTGAGACCCGTAAGAAAGATAACAAGCTTGTTGAACCTGAAGCAATTGAAAAACATGTATGTTTGGAAAATTGAATATGTAAATTACTTGAAATTATGGTGGATTCTGATTTTAAATATTTTTTTATATATTTTGTAGGCTCAAATCGAAGAAATAGTTCAAGCAGATCTATCTCTACCTAGCATAGAGATTGTAGAAAAATGTTGTGGACCTCAAACTCGTAGCCATGTGTTTGGCTTTGGGGGTGGAGTGAAGGCGAAAGACTTGAAAGGTGTAACTTCTTTAAAGGCTGAATTACTGTCCGAGCTACGTTCAACTCGAGAAGAAAATAAATCTTTGAATGAGGAAAAAAAATCCTTGAATGAGCGTTTGTCTACCTTAGAAGATGAGATGAAAGAAATGAGGAAAATGAGAGAGTACTTTGATGCTCAACAATCACATGTCCCGCTTACAACGACATCGCCCGTTTCAACTGAATGACCTCTTATTTTGTCTGCTGACCAAGTTAGTAACAATATACTCCACCTCCTTCCTGATCTCCCTTTAAATCATTATATATATATATATATAAAATTTGGTACAATATACTGCATAAACTTTAGGTACAATTCAGAGGAGAAGGCTTTCTGGAAAAGGTTAAAATGCAAATATATATATGGAGTCTTTAATAGCTAAATATATGGCCGTGGCATGTAAATGCATTTTTATCTTTTAGCATGAAAAAGATACTCTGTAGTTATAGTTAGAACTGTCGAGGTGTGGCGATGGAGACATACTCCTCGTATATACCAGCAATAATGTATTTTAGAAAATAGCCTGAAGTGGACATAGAATTGTTTGGAGCAGCAGCAACAGCATCAGTTATGGTGCTGAAATTCCCACTTCCGTCCTGGTTTACTATCACAATGTCCCTCACCAGAACCTGGTTCTTGCTGAAATTCCCACGTCTTGCTTCATTTTGCACTGCAACAGAAACATACCATGTTGTTGTTTGTTCATAATAGTTGGTCTCTCGAATGGTAAATCTCGAATTGTCGTACCGGGATTTAGCGAACCAAAAAGAGATACAAGTAATTAGTTAAGAATTCAAAATGTGACAGATAAGGCAAGCAAGGTAATTACTCACCTCACTGCTTAAATAGCGAAAGAGATAGCATTAATTGGCTCAGTGCAACAGAGGGAAAATGGCAATTGTTGCAGCAGCTATCTTTAAAATAAGAAAATAACATTAGTTTCAATTCAGTTAACTATTGAACATATATAGAATGAAGATCTTGTTGTGGGAAAAGCAAATTAGTGTCGATCAGAAGCTTTCTCCTCCCATTGCTTACTCTTTTTTCTTATACTACTTCCACGCTTGCATGCCCTTCATTATGCTTCATTTTCTTCAAGTTCTTTTTTTTTTGTTTTTTTTCTTTTCATTTTTTCATTTACTAATTTCAAGTTAGTTTTTAAATTTAGAATTTCTTTTGGTGCGCGTTATTACTGATGGACAAATTAAATCCATCCCAAAGCTTTTCTAATTAATTTCTATTAATATTGTTGTAGCCTTGTTGATGTTGCTGGATAACACCTTGTGAATTTAGACTGCTTTTGGGGTAAGCGATTTAACTATTGCTCATATAAAATTATATATGTTATTTTACCAATAGTTATTTATTATTTTAAAAACTTTTGTACTTACAGGTTTTGAAGATTGAAGCTACAAGTCAAGATGCAAGTTTAGAAGATGCACAAGCTATTATTATTTTGCTAAAAATGTTATGCAAAACTTGATAGTTAGCTACGTTTTTTTTTTGTTGAGGTGTTGAGAAAACATTGAAAGTAACATCATCATGGGATATGAACTTGATATATTATCCTTTTATATCTGGATTTTTCAATACCAATTTGAAATTTATTGATAAAAATTACTTTTTGTTGCATTGAGCTTATAGGACTACTCATGGTTATTAATAGACCATGAATATTTCGCTAAATTAAAAAATTATTTAAATAGGGACGTTGCCTCTAAACATAATCTAGGACCAGTTAAAGGTCGGTCGCGAAAATGGTTTAACGACCAGATGTTTTGTCGGTCTCTAATAGATAATTTAGGACCAGTTGGCGTTGGTCGCTAAAAAGATTTAACGAAGGGAATATATATATTTTTTATCGTCTATTAGGGACGATAAATATAGTCTTTAAATGTTATTCGCGACCAGGTTTTCTGTACGTCTCTAAAAGACAATTTAGGACCAGATACAATTGGTCGCTAAAGAGATTTCACGACGGGAATAAAAAAAATTTCATTGCCTACTAGGGACGAGAAATGTGGTCTCTAAAAGTATTTCACGACCAGTATTTTTGTCCGTCTCTAAAGTGATTTAACGACCAGGTATTAAGACCCGTCGTTATTGACATTTAGCGACGGAGGCTATTACGACGGGTTACGACCAGCCTTTTTCCTTCATAATTTACCCTTTTAGGACAAGATTTTTACCTTTAGGGACCGGATTTCCCTTCCTTAAAGGCCGTTTTTCTTGTAGTGAAACTAGTCGATCAGCGGTGCGTTCGACGGTTCCGTGCCTTTCTCCCTCAAGTTGTCCGCTTGAGGGTCCCAGTCTAGACCTCTATAGTAACCTTACTCTGATCAATTGTGCATGCACCATGGTCAAACCTAGCTGGGTTAATATGTTGTCCACATAATAACCCTTTAAGACAAGCCTCGTCCAAAAGTCCATTGGGTTTTTCATAATCCCAACGGATGTAATCACGACTGTGTGCATTAATTTGGAGAAATAAGTGTCAATATGCTAATCATTGTTGTATAAATAGACGAATCTTGAGGGGGAATGGGCCTAACCACCTTTTGTTTTGCAGAAAATGAGGCACGAAGTCACCAGATTCGGTATGGTCAGTAGCGTACCTTTACTTTTGCTAGATTGGTGGAGGAATATTCCCTCAAGTGACCAAAATCATGTGAAACGAGTCTTAGGAAATTTGTCTTCTCTATTGGATCTTCAGCCAAACAAGATGTTGATCGAGGCTGCCACTATGTTTTGGGACAAGGAAAGGGTCGTGTTCCACTTTGGGGACATAGAAATGACTCATCTTCTAAAAGAAATAGGAGGATATTCTGGGTTGCCTTGGGATAGCCCTGGTTTATTAGCACCTGAAATTCGCACCACTAGAGGGTTCCTTAAGATGATGGGGCTGAAGAAAAATGATGACTTGGAATGCCTGAAAAATTCCTACATACCTTTCGACTTCCTCTATGAAAGATACGGTCACAATAGCTCTTACCGTATTTTTGATGATGAGTTCTCAATCACCTCCTTGGGTTGGGTTCATCGTAGGGTCTTTGTGTTCATTGTGTGTTTCTTGCGCATGCTGGTATTCCCGACCTAAGGGGATAGAATCCATACCAGGCTAGCCATGGTGGCCAAACCTATGATGGACGGGATCGAGGGGCAGACATATACCATTGTCCCTATGATCATTGCAGATATGTACCGGGCCTTGGAACGCTGTCAGAAGGGGTTCAGTTTCTTCGAGGGTTGCAATTTGCTGCTGCAAGTTTGGCTGTTGGAACATCTCCAAAGGGGTCAATACCGTCAAGAATTTCCACAAAGGTCGTGGAATGATCACATAGCTTTCCATCACCTAAAGAGGATAACATATATTCAGGACATATTTGCTCAACCAAAAGACTCTAAAGAATGGGTGCAGTTTTTCAACAAGTTATCTGAGGACCAGGTCTAGTGGATGTTCGAGTGGTTCCCCGCCGACAAGTTCATCGTCAGATCCAGGGATGTTCCACACTTGGTGTTGATTGGGTTGAGGGGGATATACCCTTATGCTCCCCTCAAGGTTATGAGACAGGCAGGCAGGAGACAGGTCATACCACGAGTCGCTAAGATGAGTCACTTCATAGCGGATTTTCAGGGTGACGCCATCCCATATAAGAATGAAGCACAACATATGTGGACTTTGAAAATTATTGTGGAAAAGAATACTATCGAACCAGACCGATATCATGCGGGCCACTCATACTTCTACCCCTCATGGTTGGATGATAACATAGCAGGGATCTTCGAGCCGAGGGTTTGTCCAGGAAACAGGGTCATAGACGAAGTTGCCGAAGCATAGGTGAATTACAACAAATTACACAAAAGAGTTCGCGAGTCTGAAGCAGAGCATATGGAGCAGCATAAAACATACATGGAAATGATCAATGAGAGGAAAGAGAGGGCTGTTAAATCCAGCGAAAGATTGGAGTATCTGGAGTACAATTTGATGGAATTGGAGAGGAAGATAAGAAAGAGAGTCACCGACTGCCAGAACGCTGAAGGAAATGAAGGAGGGCATTTGGCAAGGGCATTCTTACTACTGAACTTGCGCGAGCTGGGAGAGCTGATCGACAATAGCATCTGGTCTAGAGAGGGTCCTTCTGGGACCAAGTAGATTAGGTTTACTTTCTTTTCTTTTAAATGTAATAAGGCCGAGTGCCATTAGTAACATTATTTAGTGTTGTTTTGGGTCGTTTATTTTTACATTAATTAAATGAGGCAATTATTGGCACTGAATTTCTCCAAACCTATTTGTCGCTAGGCCTACCTCGGGCACAACGAGTCTCCCAAATTAGGACACGAATTTACATTCCCGCAATATGTGTTTAAATACTGCAAACATTTCAAAACCATTACTAACTTGGCTACCTTTTAGTTTTCTTTCTTTTTGATTATTCCCAATCCCCAAAAAGGTTGGATTGTGCATACTGGCATCATCAGCTTATCACACAAGATCCAAGGGCCCTCCACCTTCTCCTCCTCCTAGTCCACCAAAAGGTAAGGGAAAAGCAAAAATGGAAGATTTGAACGGCTCCAGAAAGGAAAGCAACACACAGGTTGAACATGCAGAAACTTCTGACGGTCAGGGTACTCAGGCCCCAAATAAAGAAGTTTCACGGCTCGAACAAAAAATACTAGAATTCCAGGGTGAGCTTGAGCATGTCCGAAATGTGACAAATTTGTCCTTCTCACTTAGCGTCCCAGACATCAAACATCCAAACACTCAGAACCCCGCACCACCTCAAAACACACCCAACAGGCGCCCACAAAATCCACCCATACCTCACCATTATACAACTCACCCACAAAATCAATCAATTCCATCACAGTACCAGCCAAACACCTACCACACTCCACAAAATACTCCACCGGTCATTCCTGAACCCCTGAATTCTACCAATGATCACCACTATACTCAAATTCCAGGTCACCAAAACAACCCAATATATGTGGAAACCCTACCTCACTCCACTCAACCCATTTCCTATGCACTAGAATATATTAAGAAGGACATGCTCATTAAGAACCTGGCCGAGGAGGTCAAGAAGTTGACCAGCCGAGTTCAAGGCATAGAAGGAGGCAAGGGGATAGAAGGTTTGAACTATGAAGACCTATGCATACAGCCGGATGTAGAAATGCCAGAGGGTTACAAACCTCCCATGTTCGAGATGTTTGACAGTACAGGGGATCCCAGGGTTCATTTGAGAACCTATTGTGACAAGCTTGTCGGGGTCGGAAAAGATGAAAATATTCTGATGAAGCTTTTTATGAGGAGTCTTAGGGGAGATGCCTTGTCTTGGTACATCAGCCAGGATCCTAAGAAATGTCCCAACTGGGTGAGCATGGCATCTGATTTCATGGACCAATTCAGGTTCAACACAGAGAATGCACCAGATGTCTTCTACATTCAGCACCTCAAGAAGAAGCCCACCGAAACTTTCTGCGAGTATGCTACTTGTTGGAGGTCAGAGGTGGCCAAAGTTAGGCCGGCACTGGATCAGGAACAGATGAACAAGTTCTTCGTCAGAACACAGGATCTGCAATATTATGAAAGGTTGATGGTTATTGAAAACCATAAGTTCTCTGATATCATCAAACTTGGTGAAAGGATCGAAGAAGGCATCAAAAGCGGGATGGTAACGAACTTTGAGGCATTACAGGCCACTAATAAAGAACTACAATCAGGGGGTATATCTAAGCAGAAGAACGTGGGAACAGTGATGGTCGCCCAAGGACCCAAAAATCCATTCGTATACCGAACCTCTCCACTTGCATATCAAGCACCTCCACCCACATATCCAGCACCTCCACCCACCTAGCAACTGTCACCTCCACCTACATATCAACCTTCATCCCCCAGATACTCCCAACCAGCCACTGCCTATCATACCTACAATTCCCAACCATCTCACTTTCAGTCACCTCCAACTCGTCAAAATTACCCAAGACCGCGACCCGATTTTGATCGCAGATCACCCAAACAATACACTGCCATTGCTGAACCCATCGACCAGCTATATGAAAGGTTGAAGGCTGCTGGCTACGTCACTCCCATCCCTGCTGTGGCCACGGAGAACTAATCCCAATGGGTTAACACGAATAAGACTTGTGAGTACCATTACGGTATGAAAGTGCACACCATTGACGAATGCCGCACATTAAAGGACAAAATCCAGACTTTGATTGACAACAAGATCATCCAGGCGAAGGAGGAAGCACCTAATGTCCGCAATAACCCCCTCCTAGATCACAGCGGTGAAGGTGTCAACGTGATAGAGATGGATGAAGCATGGGATCCGGAGGGGTCAATCGGACTTGTCAAAGAGGGACGATCCTAAGAAACCCGCAGTGACTCTCAACCCCATTATAGTGCAGATACAGCCGCCATTAGAGGTTGAGGTAACAACATCAATCCCATTTGAAGTTGAGGT